CAATGAGATGGATTGACACAGTGGCTGTGACAAAGGGCTCAAGTATAAGAACAATTGTGAGGATGGCGCAGGACCAGGCAGTGTTTTGTTCTGTTGTGCACAGGGTTGCTATGAGTCGGAACCGACTCGATGGCACCAAACGACAACACCAGAAGGTTTACACAAAAGGTTGTGATTATTCATTTTACCAAAGAAATCCACAGGATTCTTTTCAGCTCTGAATAAATTCAAAAGCATACCTATTGACAGAAGCTTGCAGCTATTTGGCATCCACACAGCATTTTCTGAGGGCGGCCTATGGGCAAAGCAAGGGATCCACAGGGGTCACAGCAGAGCATGCCTGTTAGGGGAGCAGAGGGCTCCTTGTGACCAGGCCCACAACAGGACGCGAGAAGCCCTCACATCTCCCTCTGACCCGGCAAGAGGCTGGCATGCCCTGTCTGTTCTCTACCAGGCAGCCTGGCCAGCAGTTAAGAACCGGGCTTTGGAGCCAGATTGCCTGGGGTGAGATCCAGGCAAAACTGTTTACTGGCTGTGTCATCTCACTAACTCTCCGGGCCTCAGTTTTCTCGTCTATAAAATGAAGCTAATGATAGCTACTTCATCGGCCTGGTATGAGGCTTATAGGTGAGTAGTTTGCATAAACATTCAGTACATTTTGGTCATTGGTAATCCTCCCCAGTGGAGTCGCCATGGCTCAGTTCACACAAGGGGACCTTGTCAACCAGCCTGCAGGCTCCTCTGTCAGGCCTCAGGTGTGGAGGTGGACATGACACTGGAGAACATGGAGGAGGAGGATCCAGGTGTTTCCTCCAGATACACCTCTCACAACAGGGCCCAAACCTCAGGTTGGCTAATGTCATCTGTGCTTTCATGAGCCAGTGTCCAATAATTCCGTGTCTAGGCAGCTCATTCCACACTTCTCAAACATGAACACTATCCAGCCAATGTCCTTCATCTGGATCATTTTTTTCTTAAGTTGTATTCTATAAAGCAGGGTTCAGCAAACTTTTCTGTAAGGGGTCAAATAGTAAATATCCTAGCCTTTGTAGGCCATTTGGTCTCTGCTGAAGCTACACAACTCTGCCATGTAGGGTGAAAGCAGCCACAGACAATACATAAACAAATGAGCATGGCTGTGTTCCAATAAAACTTTATTGACAAATACAGAGGGCAGGTTGGATTTGGTCCATGGGCCAT